CTGTGAAAGGAATATCGTTTATTAGAAAAACAAGTGATCACATCTCTCCCATTCCAAAAGTGTTAATCATTGCCTAGAATATTTCCTTTATTGTAATAGATTTGTTTGTCGATGGTCAATCTAGGACTACCAGAGTTAGAATCAGATGAGGAAGGAAATTTGTACCATAAAATCTGGTGGAGTCTACATCAGGACAGGTTATGCTGCCATGGTTGATCTGTGTTCTTTATAACGGGGAAAAATAAAATAAATGCACAAAATACTCAATTAATAATTTTTTCTTATGAATAGTTCCACTTGCTTTACAAAAGCAGGCGGTATATAGTAATTGGGAATCGTTCATTTTTTATACGATTACACTTTATTATCCGAAACTGCTCCCTAACGGAATAACGTAAACGGTATTTTCTACTGTTTTCGGCGTTAACCATACATATAATGAATATCGTTGGCGATCTTTTGAAAATATCAGCTTTTATTATATGACATAATTTTTTTTTCTCATTGGCTAAGAACATAGGAAATCCTCTTCGATAAAACATTATATTAACAGCGGCAAAAATTATGAGAGGTTAATATAAGATTATGAACAGCGTCCGTGTACCTAAATATAGATATTCCAATGCAACGTCAATGACGTAGGTTTATGACGTCATGCAAATTCCCAGTCTTGTGGTCGGTGTATATTTTCTCTTTTTCTTGTTTTCGGTGTTTTTTTTTAGTAAACTTTATTGAAACTTTCAACTTATGAAAATTAGCAACTGCAAAAGCAGATGATATATTTAGTATAAAATCAAGGGCAGTTTTAAAAGTATCTTGAGCAAAAATCAGAAATTTGGAGAAGGATAAAAAGTCATATAATAAAACAATTGTTGACTGTTTATTTCAGTCGATACAATGATTTATCAATCCAAGAGATATGACATTAACCCTCGTTTATTTAACTCGGTGAATATCATATCTCTGTGATCGATAAATCATTATATCAACCTCATCAAAAGTCCATAATTGTATAAAAATTAATTCCTTATAAAATAAGAAAATATCTCATTATAAATGATGTGTCATGTGTTTGATTAATATTCGGATCCATTTAATATTCGTGTGCATTCAAATATCAATACAAGCAAATATAAAAATAAGAAGAGGTATAATGATTGCCAATGATACAACTCTTCACAAGAGACCAAATGACACAGAAATTAACAACTATATGTCAACGTACGGCCTTCAACAATGAGCAAAGCCCATACCGCATAGTCAGATATAATAGGCCCCGAAATGAAAATGTAAAACAATTCAAACGTGAAAACTAACAGCCTAATTTATGTACAAAATAATGAACGAAAAACAAATATGTAACACAGCATCAACCGACAACTCTGAATTACAGGCTTCTGACTTGGGACAGGCACATACAGAATGTGGAGGGGTTAAACACGTTTGGCGGGCGCCCAATCCTCCCCTAACCTGGGACAGTAATGTAACAGTACAACATAAGAACAAACAATAAAAATCAGTTGAAAAAGGCTTAACTTATCAGATGGATACAAATAGAAATACATCTTACAAAAACACAGAGTGGACATGGCCGGGTACTTTTAAGTACGCGCAAAACATATGCAAATGTTTCAATGGTCAGCCATGTTAAATAGTGGTAGTATAAATGCTAGCAGGTTTGTATTTTTATCCTAAATTTATAGTTGTTAGAACAAACGTAATTGAAATGTAATTACATTTAAAAATCAATATAATGTTAATAGTATTGTAATTCAATTGAAAAAAATCAGTATATATTGATAACACCTTTTTATTTTCGAATTGAAGGGGCCAAAATAATGGCCGAATCACACCTTTTCCTTTTGAAATTCAAAATATTGACTCTCGAGATTAAAATCCAAATCAAGATGATGGTAAAGCTGTGTGTTGTCTTTACGATGCAATTCATTTAATGCGAAGTTTCATAAAAAAAACCCAATCAGTAGTGATTTCAAGGGCTGAGAACATTCCTAAATGATTAAATAAACTTTAAAATCTAATTTTAATATCAAAACCTTACTGTTAAAATATGCGTTACTATTATATACTGGAAGGTAAAAGTGAAAGTTGAGTATAGATTAATGTTTATTGCATGTATTTTAAATTACTGCATTAGATATTATCAAGTGGACAAAAAGTGTATCAATTATGATGTATCAGGCTTTTAAAATATCTTTAATGACCTACTTTATATGTTTTATCAACCATTGATATGATATTCATAACAGAAATCAAACCGTGGAACTAAACTTTGAAAATATGATTTAGGTTGATATTATCAAATAGACCGACTGTGTGTAAATTATTTTATACAAGCCTTTTCAAATATTTTAAATGACTTATTAAATATGTTTTATTAAGCATTAATATAATAATATAGCAGAAATCAATCCGTGGAACCATCATGGACTAAATTGTTTCCTATAATGTCTGTATAATGGAATTTTATGTGACTGTCATACTAGTGAGAGGTTTAACGAGCTTTAAAATCAGGTTTAATCCACCATTTTCTACATAGAAAAATGCCTGTACCAAGTCAGGAATATGACAGTTGTTTTCCATTCGTTTGATTCTTTTGACCTTTGAATTTGCCTTTTGTTAAAGGACTTTCCTTTTTGAATTTTCCTTGGAGTTCGGTATTTTTGTTATTTTACTTTTTGCACTTAAAAAAAAGTTTTAGGTCACTTCTAAAGTTTTACAACGGTAAACAAACACATACATATTCAACTAACCATGTATTCATAATTCAACCGTTTGAGGTTTAACAGAAAAAAGTTACACATATGTATATCATTTTCCATCTATGGGAATGCTAGAACGCACTGAACACATTAAGGACATACGAATCAGCTACAGGGTAGCTAGTGACGTTGCTAACTAAAATCTTGTTTTTTGCAATGTCGAACTGTGACATATCGGGAAAAGATGCATTTTGACTGATTTTTATCATTCAGGCTGATTTATCTTGAAATAAAATAACAAAAATACCGAACTGTAAGAAAAATTCAAAACGGAAAGTCGAGAAACGAGTTCATGGACCCCTATTTTAAAAATGACATTTGGCTTGATTATGTTTGAAGATTACTTGTGACAATTTTTATAAAAAAAAATCACCGATGATGTTTTTGAAATTAAATAAATATACAACAAAAAAAGCCGTTTTTTGACTAAAATCATGAAAATATGATAAACATGAATGATTTCCAAATGAGTCTTACATAAATTTAAAGCACACTCATATATGGAAGATACACATATGTTTTTATAAAAGTCCGCTTGCGTTTATCTTTTTAAAACAAAATATTAGGTATGTGTCTTTCCGAAGGAAAGTAATGTCCAAAAAACCGCAAATTTCGTCAACAAATCAACGTCGGATCAAACTGTAACGTATGCCCTTAAATAAAGGGAGATCACTCAGATATTTGCAGTAGAAAAGATAATACCATAAGAAACACTATTTGCCAGTTTTCTTGTAAGATTTTACTGTTAAGATAAAACAAAATAGTTATTCTATATATGCACTCACCATGCTCTTGAAAGACACAACTTAAATAAAACGCGCTCATTTTGGATGTAGCATTTACAAACATTTACATATAGGTCAATATCTCTTATGTGCCTCAAATTGAAGAACTAAAATTAAAGCAGGGTGTTAACAAAAAATCTCTGTGCAGCGATATTGGACATGTTTCAAATTTTAATAATGACTGAACTTAACCATTTGTGCTGATTTGGATAGCAAAGGACCATAGAATATAGGTGTAAAGATTATGAAATTATCAAATGTGTGCAAAGAGCTTATTGTGTGTGAAAAAGGGATTTTTTAACCTCGAGAAGCCACATCACAAAAGGCTTTTCGGGGTGGGTAAAATTACGGAAAAACGTACCCCAAAATTTAACCACATATGTGTAAATGTCTCTGCTTCAAAACGAGCCATCAGACATTTCTGAGTTTACGATATGGTCACAGGAATTGAGGGAAAATGCTACCATTACCGCCAACCTGAAATAAACAGCGCATCTTGACCAATAAACATACTTTTTTTTTAAATTGCAGGACTTCTGTTTTTTTCTCTCCTACCCCTATAACCTTTATCAACTTAATAATAGAATTATTATGATGACATCAGGCGGATAAGTTTTTTCCGTCTTTAATCATATATCAAGATTTGAAATATTCTATAATTTAGAAACAAATCAATCAAAAAACACATTAGAACACCTCAATCGAAACTAGTGTACGAAGACGTAGTACATTATACTGAAAAGGTGGGACCTTGTACAATCCAAAAATAAAAGTATCGACAGAATGCAGTACAATATGACAAGTGCAATTAGTAATTAATGATATTAAGGTTTAGTAATGTATTAAACTATTGAAGAAAATTGCTTGTGCTGCTATAGGCTGCAGGGACTTTTTTGTGGGCGTCTTGGTCAATCTACCATCAAATACGGAAGCATTTTTGTTGGCGTCTTTGTCAGATTTACAATCAACTAAGCAGAGTGTTTGTTTGTCTTTGTTTGATTTATTTATATGTTTTTTGAATATTTTAGTCAATTGTGTTGTGTGTTTGTGATGTGTGTTTGCAAGGTTTTGGCTGCTGGATCCCAGTTGATGTCACGTTGATCTGCTGTGTCTGTTTGGGTTGGGTTGGTCACCAACTTTTGTCAATATGGCGGAACCTTAAACAACTGGCATACAAGATGGGGAAGGGGGGGTCTGCTGACTATAAAACCAGGCTTAAAAACCACCACTTTCTTCGGAAAATGCCTGTACTAAGTCAGAAATATAACAGTTGTTTTTCACTCGTTTTTCATTGTTTGATAACGTTTGATTTTGTCAGTTTTTGTGGACTTACCCTTTTTAAATTTGCCTTGGTCTTTTTGTTTTGCTTTTTGTACCGATAAACAAAGATTAAAGGAATATTTTCAGATACTAATGAGAATGATTTAACATTCGAATGGACAACGACGACGCTATAGCCATAATAGGTATTGGATGTAAGTTTCCAGGAGCTGACAACCAAGAGGAATTTTGGCAAATACTGGTGAATGGCGAGAATCATGTTATTGATATACCATCTGAACGATGGAACAATGATGCATTTTATAGCAGCGACCAAGACGCAAAAGGAAAGACATATATTCAAAGGGGAGGATTTCTGAAAAAGTAAATATTTCAACAATGTGAAAATATAGATTTTTTTCCGAAAGAGTGAAATTTCTCGAAATGAAATCCATTTTACAATATACATTTATTGACTTTTGATGAAGTTGATAAAATAATTTATCAACCCAAGCGATATGATATGCACCGAGGTCAACGGCCAAGGGTGAATATGTCATAGTTATGGGGTTGATACATTATTGTATCACTGTATCAACTGATATCAAAAGTCAACAACTGTTTCATTATATGACGTTTTACTCTTCTTCAATTTTCAAGTATTTGCACTCTTCTTCAATTTTCTAGTATTTGCGCTCTTCTTCAATTTTCTAGTTTTTGCTCAAGATACTTTCAAAGCTGCTCCTTGTTTTTATACTAAATATATCATCTGCATTTGCAATTGCTAACTTTTATAAGTTTGAATATTCAATAAACTTTTTTTAAGAAAAATACACCTAAAACAAGAAGAGAAAACAATTACATCGAAAAACGAGAATTTACATGACGTCTATGTCATTGACGTTGCCTTGGATTATCTATATTTAGGTACACGTTAGCTGTTCCATATCTTATATTAACCCCTCATGATTTTTCACGAGGTGAATATAATGTTTTATCAAAGAAGACTCAGTATGTTTTTAGCCAATGAGAAAAGAGAATTTGTTTTAGTCATGTAATAATATTGTTTGTCAAAACTCACCACACAAGAAATGTTATATTAATTTTCTTGCAAAATATTCACGTAATAATATATTGTCAGTTTCTTTTCAATAATATTAAGTACACTGAATTTATAGACGTATCTATATATGATCGATAATAAATAAAACATCTACATCAAAATGTGTTGTAGCCATGATGAATTCGATAACAAGTTATTTGGGATCAATGACCTTGAAGCAGAACGAATGGATCCTCAACAGAGATATGTGCTTGAATGCGTCCATATGGCTTTGGAAGATGGCGGCATCACACGAAATATGATTAGTGGATCGGACACTGGAGTTTATATTGGTAAAACAATTATCTAAGAAATAATGATTTAACGTGAAAACAAAATTGGAAGAAATAAACTTCGAAAATAAAGTATATGAATAAAATACTTATAGACATGATAAATATCAAGAAAATCTCTTAAAAAATTAGGAAACTCTCATATTACATAGTAGATTTTAACGAATAGATAGAATTTTCTCATCTATAAAGAAAGATATCTTTTATTTTCAACAAGACAACGCTGAAGAAAACGACAAACTTGAGATTTTACTATTATTTTCTGTGGATTCAACTTAATGATTGATAAACAGCTTTATTAGACATTTGAATTTCAAAAATATATATACATACATTTTAACAACATACTACGATTTACAATTTATTCCGCAAATATTGGTATTCATATGATATATCTACCAAATAAAATAATTCTTCGAATTTCTAAAAATTAAGCAATATATTCTAAATGGTATTTTGAATTTTTGTGTACATTTAGTTCACTTTCCGGGAAAATTTACCAAAATCTTTCATAATTTAAGTGTCTTTTAACCTTTAAAAAGGATGGTTTTAGGATTGTATATTTGTATAACAACAATAAGGACTAGACAACTAAAAAAATGCTTGCCAACATGTGCAATTCGATCGAAAAATACAAAAAAATTTCAGACATATGTACTTGAAAAAAAATCCATTCTTTTCAGGTTTTATGAATAACGATTACAAAGGAATAGCCGATGACGATCTTACTACAATGACAAACTACAGTCTAACTGGAACATCTCCAAGCATTATTTCCGCTCGTGTATCATATGTTTATAACTTGCTTGGACCGGCAATGTCAATAGATACTGCATGTTCATCTGCTTTAGTTGCAATCGACGTTGCTGCTCATAGCTTAAGAATGGGTATGTTACTTTAAGCATAAGACAACATTTCCAATATGTTTTTCAAGGCTTCATCACATGACCCAACTCCATTTTGCAACGAGTAACCTCCCTTTTATTTCCTTTCTGAAAGGATCATTTTGCAATCTTATATACCCCTTTTCGAGACCCTTAAAATGTTCATACTAGATTGGTCAAAGCTTTTCGATTCTATATTTAAAATATAGGTAGAAGGAACATATAATAAATAGAGAATATCATATGGCTTTTTCAATATCACATCCGTATCAACCCGAGACACCAATATAATCCCAAAAGCTCTGCTCGAGGGATTATATTGGTTGAGGGTTGATACGGTGTGTGATATTGAAAAAGCCATATCATATACACTTTATTATATACATATACCTCACGTAGATGTGTTTTATGTGACATGACGTCATACAGATAACGGGGGTTGAAATGACGTCGCACAGATTAGAGGTTTGACATGACGCAATCGAAGACGTTACGTCATGCAGATTAAAGGTGTGATAAAGTCTTTGCAACCGTGCTGATATCGATATCATCACGGATGGCTGATACAGCACGCTTGCCAATGATTGTATTACACATACAATTTATCTATATTTACTACTAAGTATATAATAAAGAGACATATTGTTATCAGTGTATCAGATATCATTTTAAAATAGGCAAAACTTGGAAAAAAGGTTGCAATTTCATTACAATGTAGCCAAAAATATGCATTATTTCATCTCATATAACAGGTTTTTTTTAATATTACCATCAAAATATTTAATCAGATGGGGTCAATGTAGAATACCTACCATTTAGCATGTGCAACTGTTAAATCCAGCAAATTTTAACAATTCGTAGTAGAATTTATCTTTTTTGATCTATTTCTGATTATTGGTGTTGTTTGGCCAAAACACAACATTAATACATTCTTACAACTTCTCGTCCGATGATATTGGTTGAATTTGCCTTCTAATTTTCATAGTACATACTTTTTCCGTGTACTAAGTAACTATGCATGAATGATCACAAGGGTAAGATTTCACTGTATCTTAATAAAGATTTAAAAACAAAAATTGCCACTGGCTATTTTGAAATAAATGCTGTGTTCCTAATCAAATTAGTTTGTTATAAGTTTTCACATTGATTTTTAAATATCCTGCTATTAAAATCTTTGGATCTAAAACATGTTTTCGACAATTGCAAGTGTCTTTCATTTATATAAAGAGTAACAAATATGGTTCTTTACACCTTGATTAAAGTACGACACTATCTTAAAATTGTGATAATTTATCATCCATGCAATTACTTTGTACACAAAAAAGTGTTTACTATGAAACCTTGTGCAGGTAAATTAAGGCAACTTGGTGATGTTTTTTAAACTTTCTGAAGGAAGTTAATCTATTCCGTCATGCATTGATTGATTGATTGATTGATTATTGGTCGCTTAATGGCCAGTGGCAAATATTTCCTGCATGTTCAGGACGATGTCTTGAATTGAAAAACCGTTATAATTTCTGAAGAGAATGTGCCATCTATATATATAAACATAGTCTGATAAATCTTTTAGTTTTTTCTTTGAAATAAAAAATAAAAACACGAAACGTCTAATCTTTGAACTTAGTTGGTAGTTGCTTTTTAATGCCCATCTTCTATGCTATCTATGGGGGCACACTATCTATATGTTTCAAATTTATGATATGTTTAGTTTTACTGTGAAATTGAAAAATGCTTTCAAAACATGTAAAGCTTCCACTGCAATTTAAGTATTGCCTGCTGTTGGTCAATTTATTTTATCATCTTACCATGTAAGGAAGTACATGTATAGTGAAACACTGCTTTATATCAATATACATACTTACACCAGCAGCTACCCTCTTTTTATTCTGGAGTCAAGGGTCTTTTGAAATCACATATTTTACAATGGTACTAGTGAGCAGATTTACAAAACAAAACTTTGTTAGTGAGCTCCGGTTTACAAACACATATGATTCAAGAAGTCAGCCATCAAAAGACCAATTAAATGATTACTTGAGTTGTAAATATGTGCTAAATTGGATAATCTATGAAAAGGTATATACTATGAAATTAAGTGCTCGGGGCGAGCCCTCACTCTAAATTTCATAGTATATACCTTAGCATAGACTAACCTAGACGTAAATGACAGTAAATTCAGTAAACTGGCATGATTATACAAAATCTAGAAATAATTTGAATTGTGCATGCTGTGAAATATGTAGAGCACAAGCGTCGGCAAAACGATAATTAAACATTATTTTTTTTGTGTTTTTTATTCACTAGCAGAACAACTATTGTGAGCGACACTTGTGTTCTACGTTGATCTTACAAGTCTAGCTATATTAGACATAAGACATTATCTTATTTTACCAATCATGGGCCCTTGTCGGGCAAGATACATAAACATCATATTACAATGGTTATTATAAAACATGCAAGTTTTTAGTGAAAATACACAATACACAATACACAAAGAAATAAAGTAAAAATATGAGTAATGTTAGGATATTATTACAGTATGAAGAATTAGGTGTAATGAGGTCGGTTTTAAATAAAAATAACAAAATAGATATAAAATTTATTAACAGGAAATAAAAGAACCAGAAATATAGTTTCTCACTTTGTAGTAGTTCTCCTCGTGACACGTGCACAGCAGCGAGGAATTTTACATCACAACAATTCAGAGGTCATCAAGGGGAGGTCATTAAGAACTAGCTACATATGTAATGCGATGTTCACAAATAGTGGTTCTCCTAATGATTAATGCACTGCAGCAAGTGGTTGACATTGCTACTATGCAAGATTCATTAAGGGACAGTGCTCTAGAACTCACTAAAGGGAAAATATAAAGTTCGGATTACAAGCAGAAGAGGGAGATAAATCCCATCAAAACTTTTCATATTTCTTAATGAATATGCACAATTCTGATAACAATTTCTCATCTTCATTATTCATTAACCATATCAGTTTTTTGGTAGGGTCTAGATTTAGAAAATTCTTGCAGCAATTATTTATCATTGTTATTATATCTTTTCGTTATATAACGTCACAATTAAATTGTGTCATCAAGGCTTGGATAAAAGTAATCATTTTACTAAATCCTATCTCTTGATAAATGATAAGAAATGATTAGAATGAATTCGGACAATTTTTTTATTTTGTTGAAAACAAAAGGTCAAAACGTATTTGAAAATAATTTAAGGATACTTTTATCCGATGCATGCATAGTATTTTCCTTAATAAATAGTCCAAAATGAGTAAATGGAAAATAAAGAATATATAAGCACGATGAACGCGACTGTAATGATAAATGGGGGTAAATGCGTTACAGTAACTTGACAAAAAGGACGGGTATCAGATTCTGTCAGGTTTTTTAAGAAGCCTTCCCGAGCCAATTACATTGTGTAAAGACTTGTCATTAAGTTTCAAATTTAACGTTAGATGCAACTCACTCAACAAAAAGAAAAAATATTCTTATTTTCAACAATGATAAACAAATGAAAACAACACTTTTCAATCGTTCGAAGCGCATTTCATGATCTATTTTCATCAGAAACACTCAAGTCGAAAGTGAAAGCCAAGAATGTATAAGAATTGAAACAATTAAAGGGCTTCATCTAAGGTCAACTTTGCATGGGTGAGTTGAAACCTTCTTTTTTAATAATTTGTTAATTCATAAACAGACCATTTTAGAATCGTTTTTTTAATTAATCATGTCAGTATCAAAACTTTTGCTCGATGTTCGTATTTGTAGCATGAAAAATTGCAGCTCGTTTCATATACTATTTGTTTTTAATTTACTTCTAATCAATCACTGTTTGCTGTCACGATGACTCTCACAAAGAACCGGTCAGAAGCAAAAACAGTAATCGTTCACCGATCAGTCAAGCTCATAGTAAAAGTTACTATAGCTCATATAATGTATGGGAATCGTAAACAGTTTAATGCAACACCCACAAATACTCATTCATAAAAGGGAGGCGGAATATACCAAAAGAATAATCAAACTCATAAGTCGAAGATGAATTGACCAAGCCAAAACAAACTTAAAATGACAAAAACAGTCAATATAACATATTTATAAAATGTACCTTATTAAAGATTTGAATATTTTTCGACCATTCTCATGAAAGCTTATTTTCATTCAGGGCGCAGTTCAATGGTTATCTGTGGAGGAGTTAATAGTATGTTATCACCCTCAATGTTAATACCACTCAGCCGAGCAAGAATGGCATCACCAAGTGGACACTGCCATGCATTCTCTTCAAATGCAGATGGGTATGCCAGAGGGGAAGGATGTGGTATAGTTATATTGAAAAAACTAGGAGATGTTAGTTTTATTGTATTTCACGGTATTTCAAACAATGGTCTTAAAGTATTAAATGGTACAGTTTTTAATATATTCGAACAACATAAAACATTCTTGCAATTTTCACTATTCCTTGCGAAAATGTGTGTATTAGTCTTGTATGATTTTTAATTTTAGTTCATTTATATGTTTTGGAGTTTAGTTAGACGTCCATTTTCACTGAACTAGTACACATTTTTGTTTAGGGGCCAGCTGAAGCCCGCCTCCGGGTGCGGGAATTTTTCGCTGTGTTGAAGACCCATTGGTGGCCTTCGGCTGTTTATTGCTCTTTGGTCGGGTTGATGTCTCTTTGACACATTCCCCATTTCCATTTTCAAATTTGTTGCTTTCGTAAATAGTTATCCTGGTTGATGACATAGTTGTTTGAATTTCTAAGAGTAAAACACCATCAATTCAAATCGATCTTAAAGCTTCATTGGTCATGCCGTACGTCGTTTTTGTCGAAATAGCATCTACAGAGAATTTTTTAATTTTTTTTTATAGTGATTTAGATTAGAACACAATGTTGACTGCTGTGCCCCCATTTTTAACATTTTTACATATTATGTCTGTTTGTTTTGTTCACGCATTGATGTCAATATAATGGAATTTCATGCGACTGTCATACACGTGAGAGGTTAGCTAGCTATAAAACCAGGTTTAATCCACCATTTTCTACATAAGAACAAATGTTTGTAACAAGTCAGAAATGTGATAGTTGTTATCCATAAGTTTCATGTGTTTGAACTTTTGATTTGCAATTTGATTAAGGAATTTTCGTTTTGAATGAATCGGTCTTGATAATGTGCCGTAAAGCAATTTTAAAAATGAGAATTATATAAAGAAAAGCGTTTTGCCTGAAAAACTAAACCCTCCGACGGCAAGTAGGGAAAATATTATAACAAGATATTATCAGACTGATAAGAAACCACCTTCTTCTTTGGTTCATTGGTTTAGAATATCCTTCGTTTACATTTTGTTTTAAATTTACCAGCATTCTAAAATAAAAACAACATATACTTATTTTCAGGCTAAAAGAGATTCAAATAAAATTTGGGCAACAATTGCTACTGATTGTAACCAAGATGGCCACACAGCAACCCCAATAACAGCTCCTTCTGCTAGTCAACAAGAAAATCTTCTTCATAAAGTTTATTTATCAAACAATGTCAATCCCCAAGACGTACAAGTGATAGAAGCGCATGGTAAGTTTATATCACAATTTGAGATCATATTAAATATTAGTTGATTCATTTTTCACTGAGAAATAAAAATTATAGAATACGTAAATAAATACTGTCCCATGATTCATTACAGCAATATAAAAACCTAAATACACCTACGGACGGAAAACGTTTTACAAAAACAATGTATGGATTAAATGTAGGCTTCTTATATCTGAGAGTCGTGAGCTCAGAAGATATGAGACGATCTACAAAGAACTAATAAATGATATGATTAATCTTTTCTCTTGTTATAAAAAGAATAATAAGTTTTGATAAAACAGAAAAGTGCCATTATCTCAAATTTTCCAGATGCAGTTACACTTACAGAAGATGTTTTGTAGTTATGGAATTTAAATGAAATCTTAATAGCGTCTATTTTTCTCTCATCAATTGATACTTTATCACTGATCTTGTATTTCAATATGAATCGCTGTACTATCTGGTCTTTTTCTGGTTTAATTGCCACAATCTGAACCTTTTTGCAGATAAATGATAGCACTTCTATGTAAATAATACAATTCTAACTAAGTTGTCTAGTTATCTGTATTTATAGGAACAGGAACCCCTGTTGGAGATCCGATAGAAGCGAACACACTCGGAAGATTTTTTGGAAAAAAAACAAATGATCAATCTCTAAAAAAACATGTTGTCTATATAGCATCTGTAAAAACTAATATCGGTCACTTAGAAGCAGCAGCAGGGGCAGCTGGGCTAATAAAAGTGTTATTAATGATGAAAAACGAAACAATTGTTCCCTCTCTCCATTTTGAGAAGCCTAATGAAAAAATCCATTTTGAGAAGTATCACTTTATTGTTCCAACGCACACTATTCAATGGAAACCAGATGTAAATAATCAACGAATGGCGTGTGTTAACAGCTTCGGATTCGGTGGAACAAACTCACACGTGATAGTAAAGCAGTTTCAACAAGAGAAACGCTGCCAGGAGGAACATCGGGATATATTACATTTAGTTTTTATATCTGCAGTAGACCTAGACAGACTGACGATATCCATAGTCGAAATGATTGAAAAGATCACTCGTATCGACATTCGTTTGTGTGATATATCATACACATCTCTATTCAGACGAGACCATCACCAGTATCGTATAGCTCTTTTTGCCAACAGTTTAGAAGATCTGAAACTTAAATTAAGAAAACAACAGAATTCAAATGAACCAAAATCTAAAGTAAGATTGAGATCGCCAAATATAATTGCTGTCTTTTGTGGTGTAGGGACGACATGGAAGGGAATGTGCAGTCAGTTGTTGAAAGAATATACTGTAGTAAAAAAAGTAGTACAACAAATTGATAGCATTCTTAATCAGTGGGTTGAGTGGTCAATTTATGATATTCTAGCTAATGGCAAAGATATTTCTGATCCTTTAACTGGACACATAGCTATTTTTACATGCCAGATAGCCCTATGGTCCCTTTGGAGGTACTGGGGGATAAAGGTGGATTCAATTATTGGTCAGTCTGTTGGGGAAGTTGCTGCTGTGTATGCTGCAGGTTGCTTGACATTGGAAAATGCAGTTGCGGTGATATATCACAGATCAAAAATGCTTTCAACTGTAACAGGAGGCAAAATGTTTGTCATAGGAAACTGTGATACGAAATACATCGAGTCTGTTTGTAGCAAATTTCAAGGAAAGGTCTGCATTGCGGTATATATCAGTTCTACATCCTGCACCGTATCCAGCGATGCTGATATTGTTGATATCTTTAAAAAGGCAGTAAAAGATGGATTACCCAAGGCTCAAAAAGAAACCTTTTTGCTGACAGACTTAAATGTACAATGCGCTTATCACAGTCATCATACCGAAAAAGCAGGAAACGATTTAGAAAAAATCGTAAAACGTTTTGTAAGTAATGATCCTTCCATACCCTATATTTCAACAGTTACTGGCGAAACAATTACTGATGGCATTGTTATTGATGCTTCCTTTTGGAACAAAAATGTAAGTTGTCCAGTTTTATTTAAAGATGCAGTGTCCACTGCCGGTAAGAAGAACACGTTTAACATATTCCTTGAGATAGGACCAAAACCGGTTTTAAGGGTTTATCTTAGAGACTCTTATGCACACGATGAAGCAATTTGCCTGCCTTCGATGAAAGAAAGACACGAGGAAGACACTATGCTAACGTCTGCTACAGAATTATTCGAGCATGGAATTAATTTAGATTGGCACAGAGTTTGTAAAGGACAAGGTAACTTATGTGATATACCGAAATACAAATTCAACCCGAAAAGAAAGTCATTATTCATATCAGATGTAACCCTTTTGAAACATACAGGTTTAGACCCTTATGTAGGAAACCATTTGTTTGTTTCGAAATCGCCTATTTCAACAGCAAATTTTAAAGTAAAAATCAACGACGTAGTTACACCATTTGTATTTGAACACTATGTCTCAAACACTCCTATTGTCCCTGGTGCATTTTATGCCGAGGTGGCACTTGAAGTAGGACACTTACATCTACAAAAACGAGTTCAAGATATATGTGTTACAGTAGAATTCATTCGACCAATACTTCTATCTCCTGGTCAATCGTACAGTGTAGATGTATCAATTAATGATTTATCATCGAATTCAACAATGTGTGTGTTAACGAAGGACAAGGACGTTATATCAAAATTCACATTTCGTAACGCAGAAGAGCAACCAAGAAGAGAAAATATAGATATTGATTGTCTATACAAAGTATGCCCACAGTTCCAATCATCAGAAGATACTTATGATATACTTAGGAACATGGGTTTCTCATATGGCAAACACCTAGAAATTCTTGGGGATTCATGGAAGAATGATAAGCAATGTCTTGTTCAAATGCATGTTTCAGATGTAATCTGGAGTGATGTAAAGATGACACATTTTCATCCAGCTATATTGGACGGTCTTCTTCAAACGCCAAGTGTTTTGTTTTTATACGCCTCTGATGATAGGACTGTCTTACCTGCAGGCATAGGGAAACTAATCCTGAGGCGAGGGATCCAACGAACTATGATTGCATATACTGAATTGAAGCATCGATCCAAATCGGAAGTTCTTTACAATATGTTGTTGTTGACTGTTAATGGTAGTATCATCGCCGAAATTGAAGACTTTAGGTTGAAAGTTATCGGCGATGTGATGTCAAATACCTCGCAGGAGTACGCCTTGTTGTGGGAAAATATTGAAGTGTGCCACATGCCAAAACATACAGATCCAGATAAAATAAAAAAAAGAATACTTCTATGTTCGTTTGACAGGGGAATATTGTGTCAGATAAGGGAAGCTGTTCCAGATATAGAAGTAAAAACCCTTTTGCTGAATGAAGAAGCATCCCTTAGTTCACAAAAGGATATATTCAGTTCCTTTTGGAAAGAAAATCCAGGATTTGTGGAAATCTACTTTGCACCAGGTAAACAGATGACAGACTTGATTTCAGGAACTGACGTTTTAAAGACAACAAATGCCTCTTGCTTAGTCTTACTTGCTGTTGTCCAGTGTATTACAGGTAAGACAGATGGGACATTTCTCACAGTCATTACCGAATCTACCCAGGTACCAGATATTACTAATTGTTCATTTGTTAATCTCTTTGGTTCCGAACTTTGGGGACAGGTACGATCTATCATACGCGAACACATATCTTTTGAGATTCGATTGATTGATTGCCATCCATCCATCAGTGGCGCTATGAAATTCATTTCTCAACTTTTCATCGATGACAGTATACCAAAATATGGGGAGCTTATTTTTTATCACGGGAAAGTGTTTACAAATCATCTGCAGAAAATAGCACCTGACAAGCCAATAAGTAAATATCGATATGGGAGCATTGATGATTACTGTAAAGTGGCAATAAAAACTGAAATAGCAAATGATATTAGACAGACATTTTGTGTTCTACAAAATGGCCCACAAGAAATTTCAAAGAACCATATTTCCTTGAGTCTTGACGAAGTATCATTGCATAGTAAATGCTTGTACCCAGTAACTTTAACTCGTGTAAATAATGATCAGACTTTCTTTGCTTTCAAAGGGACTGATTGTTCTGAATTTGATTTACTGTCATATGAATCTACTGCCACAATACAAGAATTACACGGATTAATTCAAATCAAGAAATCAAATACAGCACCGAATAATGGAGATAAAGTTGTTGCATGTTTCCCTATGAGGGTTCAGAGTACAGTGGAGGTCCCATTAGTAACTGTTTATCCCCTACAACAATTACCAGGGTATAAACCAGGTGTCATTTTTGCTAGTGTTCTAGTGCACTCATTGGTTCATCATGTTGAAAAAGGACACCATGCACACATTTTATGCGATATAGAAAATGAATTTGCCGGGAGAATACTTCAACTGTTCTTAAAAAAAATCAAAAGAACGAGTGCTATACTACAATTAGGTGTGGATTGGAATGTCGATTCATTAAATACAGTCTTGATGTTGAAAACAGTAAGTTCTAAAGACATCCATAAATTAGTAGGGATAAGATCTTTGGGCCTAGTTATAGCTCTTTCTCCTTTTCTGAACCAAGAGGATCGACTTATTCTCCAAATGAACAATGTTGAAGTTAAAGTCATTCAAATAGATGATATCGTATCAAAAGAAAATTTAGTAAAAGTCACTCCACTTATCTTCGAGTTTTGGAATAAACACAATCTAGATGTTGAAATCTTCAAACATGAGAATAATGGAAATAGCCAATACGGATCGAACGGTACACTAAAGATACCGACCAAAACTATGTCCATGAAATTTGACAATATTCAAAAATACAACTTCGTCAAAAAGCACAGTCTAGATGTTGAAATATTCAGACATGAGAATAATGACTTCTTCCAACATCGAAATAGCCAACACATATCTGATGGCATTCTACAGATCCCGACCAAAACTTTGTCCATGAAATTTGATAACATTGGAAAATACAACTACGTGAAAATGCCACAAGACACTTTATTCAGAAAGGAGGGTTGTTACATTGTCATTGGTGGTTTAACCGGTTTGGGATGGGAAATTATTAGTTTTGCTGCAGGTCGCGGAGCTGGTGAAATAATAAGTTTGTCACGTCGAGATGTTTCTATTCAACAGCAGAATGAATTTGACATGCTAAGTAAAAGTACCGGATGTCGTATTCGAGCAATGGTAGCAGATATAACTGTTTGGGATGATGTACAGAAAGTGTTTTTCGAAATAGAGAAGAGTTCACAATGCAAAATCAAGGGCATTTTTCAAGGTGCCGGTGTACTAAAAGATACTCTAAGTTCTCGGATGAACGAAGTCTATTTGATAGATGTACTAAAACCGAAAGTACTTGGAAGCTGGAATCTTCATTTGATATCAAAAAAGTATCCTCTTGATTATTTTGTTATGCATTCATCAATGACATCAGTGATAGGAAACATAGGCCAGAGTAATTATGGAGCTGCCAATGCTTTTATGGATTGCCTTGCACACTACAGGAGATTGAATGGACTAAGTGGGCAAAGTATAAATTGGGGCCCATTAGATGTAGGTATGTTGAAAGATGGAGCAAATATAAGAGAAATCTTAAAACAACAAGGATATTTTCCGTTGGATGTATCAGACATTATGAAGTGTCTACAGAAAAGCCTTCACAGTAACTCCATCCAAGTGACATTTGGACAGTTTGATTGGAATTTGATAGGGATAAATTTGAAAGCAATGAAAACGGACTATGTTCAACATAGATTTCATGATTTATATAGTCAAGAAAAAGAAACTTTTCAAAATGCGTCCAGTAGAGCTGTTAATGACGAACTGATTGAAATTACAGAGGCACCAACGCATGAAAGGAAAGAAAAAATTGTGAAAGTAGTTTTCAGGATAGCTAGTGAAGTATTCACGACAGATATCGATATTCTACAAAACGAAACACTTATTCAAGAATTAGGAATTGACTCGATGCAGTCCATGTCATTTGTTAATACAATTTACGACATAACTGGCGTAAGGATTCCTGTAGTCACACTAATGGCAGATGAAACATCATTTGAAAACATAATTGAGATTTTAAATTCTAAAATTTCAGAACGGTCACATTTAATGCCAACTAAATCACCTGTGGACATTTCGATTGTTAATTCTATAACTCCAATGGAAAAAATGTCATATGATGCTTATCTGTTAAACTCGGAGGACCCGTCATTGTTTATTTATGCAGATCTTGAAGTATCAGGTCGTCTTGTAAACCCTGATGTATGGAAATACCTCTTTTCTCAGCTGCAGGCAAAGCATAATGCAATACGAACTCTTTTCTTACCAAACCAAGAAGGAATTAGATATGGAATACGAAAACATACAATGGATCCAGACAAATGTACTCTTGATTTTATTGAAGTTCCTATGAAAGTTTTAGACCATGCCAATAAAGTTCCTTCAGACATCAAACCATACCTATTTGACCCTTCAAAAGAATTACCATTGAGGATAATGTTTGCTAGAAATGCGAAAAAATACATCGTTCGACTAGTTTTTAACCATTTATCATTTGACCTCACGTCTATTATGATTTTAATAAGAAGCATTCCAGATATAGTTCAGTCGAAATCAAGCGATGGTCATCCTACTTTAGACAAAGACGTTGCTGTACTATATGAGCAAAAATTGCAATCACAGAAAGACGAACTTATAAAATTTTGGGAACATCAAACACCCGCTGTTTTATGTCCGATGTCCTTTAAGGGCAGTTCAGGAATAGATTTGAATTTAAAGCATCTTGATTTTATCAAACTCACAGTTGACCAAGATATTGCACTAAAATTAACCAGATTTATGAAGAAGCAAAATGTTAAACTATTTGATGTTGTTGTCAGCTTATATCAAATCCTACTTTCCGCTGAATTGAAAATAAAAACAGTATCCCTTTTTGGAACAGTCGATATGCGAATACATTTTCCAGACTTGAAAGAAACAGTTTGTAGATTTATAAACCCTGTTCCATTTTACGCAAACGTCGATCATACGGTGAATTTTTCTTCTTTTCTTGGTAACAACAAGCGAACAATTGCAAGTGCTATTGAACATAGTTTACTACCATTCGATAATATTGTGGAGTTCTTAACTAATATAAAATCCGAAGACGTATTTAGACACCAAATCATTATGGAATCTATTCAAGTCCTTGGAGATAGCCAGAAGATTACCAATGACGTCACGATAAAACGTATATGTACGGGTAACTACAATGAAACAGTTCTATTGGTATGGCATGATTTGAAAAAATGCCAACTAGATTTTGAGCTGGGTTACAGTACATTGATACTAGACGATTCACGCGCAAGACATATTTTGAATATGCTTCATCAATTTGTTCAGTACGTAATTAAACATCCAGATTCTACGACAGGGTCTTTGATCAATCTTACAAAAAAGGATTGCATGCAGACTACATGTACTAAGCAAATGATGAAAAATAAAACTCCTTTATCAGAAAGAAAACGCATCACGGATACCAGAACAAAGAACGAGATTGATACCATACATGTCAAATATAGAAGTAAAAGTTCTCTAGCTATAAAGGACCGTGATTTTCAAAAGGGTAAATAAAGTTATCTCTATATCCTTTGATGTAATTGTGAAAATAATAAAGATACAGCACCTGAAACGATAAAGAAAAAAACGTAAAAGTACATTTAAGATTAAACATGTTGAAAACAAAATTGAAACAAAACTGAGTAATCTTAAGATTCAACATGCTACAAAAATTGAAACAAAAGTAAAAGTAATTCTCCAAAAAAATTTACATTTATTTTTAATAAATACATAACCTAAGTGGGCATGCACTATAACAGTAGATTTTTACATGGTCAGTCAGTTTTAATTTCCAAACCTTATGAAACTTGTCTTGCATGCACATCCATTGACACTCTTCAAGTTTTGGGTCTTTGTGACATAATATGACACTCTATCTGAAGAATATATACAATCGTCAATAATTAAACACGATAATGAATATTTGAGAGGATTACTTGTCATTTCATAAAAAGGAATATTAATCGGTATCAGAAAATGATATTCAAAACTTATAATTATGATACAGCGATTCAACGACAAATGAAATAAAAAGATAGATATTTAGTTTGAATTTAACAGGCTGTCTTGAACAATAAACAAGTATAGATGCAATATGTTAAGCTCTTCATCGTGGGTAATTTTTGGTTCTCTAGTTTTTTTCAGCAATTTTATTTAGATATCACGAAAGATACTATTTTGGGTACATGACATGACACAGCCAACTCATTCATACATATCTAAAAATATATACATGTGTGAATGGGACATAGCCCAGCTTTCTAGCCACAATTATCAATATGTTAGTACCCCATTTCTCTTAGACTGCTGAATATAGTAATCAAATCTTTTAATGAAACGAAAAACAAATAAAACAGTATTGAATTCGAAGCAACAGAGTTCATATAAAAACCTAAGAAACGACTGAAGATTGTACGTAAAGTCATGATAAAAGAGATGTAAATAATAGATGTCACTAAAATTCTGAGTACCCCGTTCTGATAGCGATCTTTATTTTTTTAAGTTGGATATACGAGTGATACAATAAGCATGAAAAACTCATTTTATATTATGCGATTGTTCAAGAAATACTAAATCTGTCACATTATCTACTCTTTTTACCAAAAAGGTATTTCTTATTTTATCTTTACTTATATCGTTTCAGTTATTGGTCAATTTATGAAGCAGACTACACGTGGTTGGGATCACAAAGTGACAATTTCAATCCAAAAAGAGGAAAACGGGCGTACCTTGAACTGGGGGTTCTTGGAAAAGACAATGACGAAATCCTTATCAATGAATGCCATAGAAAAGGTTGAAATGACTGAAACAAATGGTAGGTATTAACTGTGAATGATACATCATGCGCTTGTCCATATTAGATACAAATTTAATAATATTGTGAATACACGGAAATATGAGATAATCAGAGATATACCCTAAATTCAAGACTTTAAAGAAATGATGTTACAGTTATTTTTCTTAATGTGCTTGATACGATTGGTCTTAAGTAAAAGAGTCACTGTAGAATTATTTACATTGATTCACATTGATACATTTTGATTCCAATATTTTTCTAAAGATTCGAATGGAGAAAATCATACTACGTTACCACATTTCATTGGTAAACATGCTCAACCTTGTTTATAATGTCCTATGGTATTTTGTATGTCGGAATTTTATTTCCAAAGTAGACTTGTTCTAAAATGACACACACGTGGGTTAGATTACATCGCATTGCAGTAAGATTACTTATATGAACAAAATGTGTGACATGAGCATTAAAAGAAAAAGAAGTAAACATGATATATATACGCTCGTTTATGATTTGCATCATTAAAATTTCCGCGTCGTCAGTAGCATCTGTATTTTTCTTTGTTAACTGTTGTGCTTTAAGTCTTAGATTTTACTATTAAGGATCAATATTCTGTTTAAAACAACATGTTTGATAACAAGGCTTTCTTAACTCGTGCCATGATTTTTTTAAACTTTTTTCTCAATACAAAGGGGGATAATTAATTTCAATTTAAACTGTGTCAGAAAAATAAAACAATAAAAGGTAAACATAACTTGGAGAGCAATTTTATTAGATTAGATATAAAATTGACTAAAATAGAAGTTGGAATATATGAAACTAGAATTGACAACTAATGCAACAACATACTCGACTTTCATTGATTTTACCAACTGATATATTAAAATGCCTTACTTTTTTTTATTTCAGGTAAATATTATATACGTATCCATGCAAACCACAGATTGTATATTTTCAAGACAGCTGACCCAAAGTTATTTGAGCAGTTCACATATGAGTTATCACATACTGATTGTGACTTTCCAGGTGTATTGGAAAATGATAGTTTATTGTACTGAACGTTAACACTGTCATTTCAATATTATAAAATAAAGATGTGGTTTTTACCCTTATGTGGTGATTTTGGATAACAGTAGTGCAAAATGTCTGTTGATAATGTATTTTATGGGGAAAAAAATTATATAACATTCATTATGGATAATTTATTGTGAAGACTTCGTATGCTACTTTAAGTGTGTTGACATTATTTGTCTTTAGTTATGCAAACTAGACTATGCATTATAGTATTAGATGTGAACATCTTATTGTATTGTTACCTGATATATAAAAAGTTTTTAATGATTCAGTATAGAATAATGTGTGTTTTTCTAAGCGGGTGCATTAAAGTCTACTTTTACTTTTGCTTTTTCCTGAGGTTACGTGTATTGTTCTGTAAGACAGCGTAGAACTTATATACAGTAGCTACACTGTATTTAAGTATGTTTTTAAAATATTGATAGATATCTAATTTTTCAATGTGAAATTTGTGTAGGATATAGTTCTATTTAAATGAGAGGAATTGCTCTGTATAGGCTATTTTTGCACCAACGTTCCGCACCTTTATGCAGTAATGTGGTTAGAATAATGTTTTGCCTTCTAAGGAAGTTTTCTTATTTGCTCATAACTTTTAACCTTATTTGAAATTCATGCACGGGATTTAAACAAAAACGATATATTTATAGTATTTTCTTTAGTTCAAGCTTGTCCTGATCTCCAGTCCACTGCAAAAATATTGACTTTTCAGATTAACTTATAAGGTACAGTTCCGCTTTAGAAGGCTGAAGTTCCTGCAATTGCGCTAGAAATATAATTAATGCAATTTTCCTATTTATATCAGTTTCTCTTACGGAGTCTTATTGTTCCTATTTTTCAGATTTCAACGGAGTCAGAATATTTATAGTTTTTCTCGTCTCTTAAAAATTCAATGATTTGATATAAATAAAAAATGAACCTAAACTTTAAATAGGGTAATGGTGCATAATTAAAGTCTGCATTAGTGTCTGATGGTTTCATATTGTTAGCTTACTGTTTAAAAGTCTAGAAAGAGGGTAATAAAGAAAAGTTATTTATTTGTTTACATATTACTATATCTTATATTTTGAAAAAATGTCGATGGAATCTGTATGTTTCTGGAATGTCTGTTTTGGTATAAGTATTATTGACAATCGTCATAAACGGCTAGTGTTGATTGTTGTTTTTTAGAACTTACAAATGTTTACTCGTGTAGTACATGTTATTACATTGATGCCAGTATCGCAAATAAAAGCTGTTAGATTTGATTAAGTTTTGTGTTAAAATTCAGAGCATTGCCATTAAGACAGAAAATAATGCTTTATTGTTATACATATCATTATACAAGTTATCCGTCTTACCACACACAAAAAAGACGGCTTTGCGTGAAAAGAGAAATGAGACTTATATTAGCAAGCTGTATGTGTCAAGTTGTGTTGACTGTTTATGATTAATGCAGTATTAATTATTCTGAGCTAGCCATAAAATCAGGTTCAATCCACCATTTTTTCTTAAAATATCCTGTACCAAGCCATGGCAGTTGTTATCAAATAGTCCGTTTCTATGTATGCTGATGTTTGTTTTTGTTGCAGTTCAGTGTTTTTGTTGCAGTTCAGTGTTTTTGTTGTTCTGTTGTTTTCCTCTTATAGTTGATGTGTTTACCTCGGTTTTAGTTTGTAATCCGGATTAGTTGTCGCTTAATCGATTTATGACTATTGAACAGCGGTATACAACTGATGCCTTTAATTGGTAAGTCTATTAATTGATTTGGTCAGTGATTAGTTCCTGTTGGTTTCTGTATTGTGTTGTGGTTAATTAGTTTCGAGAAAGGTCCTTTCCGGTTGGCGAACACGTTACACTATCGTCCTTTAGTTATCCTGTCCTGATTAATGTCAACAGGGATTACAGTGCTATTTTGGGATTTTTACAAATT